TGATAAAACTGCACCTTGGCTTGCCAGCATCTAATTCGACTGAAAGCTTACTAAATTGATCTAAAGTAGGGTCTGTGATTTACGTATTCAATTCAATCATTTTAGTTGCATCGAATGATCAATTGAATGATCGCATCGAGTCATGTGTGGTCATTTTTAGTGTTGGTACTGCCAGCATCGTATAGTGTTTAGCAGAGGGTCAGTTCTTCTCTTAGGCTAGGTTCACACCTATGTAGTTTGCGTTTGATGTGTTTCTGCAGCGCTTTTTGCAGTGCTTTTCGTGTTTTTGCACATGCATTTTTGACGTGTTTTTGGTGCATTTTGCGGGGGGGGGGGGGGTCAGCAAAACATATCAAAACTGCACTACATGCTTTTCTGCAGCGTCTTCATTGAAGCCTATAGAACCAAAAAGGCAAGGCTTTGCATTTAAAAAAAGTCCCTGGCCCTTTCCAGAAAATGTACTGGGTGAAAAACACAGAGATGTGAACCTGTCCCATAGGAAATCATGTTAAATGGACTGCTGTGCATTTCTGCAAAATGCAAAATGCAGCGGAACACGCAATGGTGAGAACCTAGACTTAGAGATAACGTATAGTAGGATGAAGGGTTGAAAGACGCCTCTCTTCTCCGCCTCCTCCCAATCTCAGCTGTGTGTGTGTTTAACTCTACACAAGCAGACCTGATCCCCTTCCCCAGCACATAACGATCTGCTTTCTGACATGAGGCTCCTTGGAACCATGGCAGGCGCATTAATGAAGCGGAACCAGAAACTGTTCAAACTGCTCCGCCACTGCAAAGGTAAGTGGTTGCCACTGTAAACATACCTGCTGATTACTTGACGCAGAATGTAAACTGAGTGATGGCACAGTGAATGACTGACAGATTTTTTGTTAAAGTGTATGTCCATCCTAAACTTTTTCTTTAGCTTTTTGGATAGCGTGAGGAAGGATTAGAACCCCTGTCCGGTTTTATTGGTACAAGAGGCTTGATAGAGAGAGGTTTGCCCTCATTTACTGTCCTGGTGAAAACACAGACAAAAAATGGGAAGAACTCTCCAGCAGGAATACAAAGTTCTTAACTGGTAAAGAAAGGAAAACTAGAACCCCTGTCAAATGTTTATCTGTTTGGTTTGCTATTTTATTTAATGTCTAGTGAAACTGTTCTCCCAAGACACTTGGGCAATAAAAATAGGCGGTTGAGCGGTAGATGCCATTCACACACTTGTACAGTGCACACACAATAAAGTACACGTGGTAATGCTTGTTGCCATAATGTATGCCAACAGATCTATGCATGCTGCATTCCAGTGCCATTCATTGGGAATGCCATCATAACGCACTGTACAGTAGAGTGCATTGCATGCCACATAACAGCTAGGGTTGCCATCTTATCTCTTTAAAACTGAACACATGTTAACCACTTGCCCTCCAAAGGATTTACCCCCCCTTCCTAACCAGGCCATTTTTCGCGATACAGCGCTGTGTTACTTTGACGATTGCGTGGTCATGCAACGCTGCACCCAAAATGAAATGTAGCTCCTTTTTTTTCCCCCACAAATGGAGCTTTCTTTCGGTGGTATTTGATTGTTTCTGTGTTTTTTAGGGTTTTGTTTGCGCTATAAAACAAAAAAAGACCGACAATTTGAGAAAAATGTTTTTTTTTTTTTTTTTTTTTTTAACTTTTTGATATAAAACATCCAGTAAAAAAATGTTAATCAAATTTCGTCATAAATTTAGGCCAAAATGTATTCTGCTACATGTATTTGCTAAAAAAAAAATCCCAAGATGTGTAAATTGGTTTACGTGAAAAGATATAGCGTCTACAAATGGTGGTATAGATACTGGAATTTATATATATATATCCCCTGTAGCTGACAGGGGAGAGATCTGTATTGTTTACATACAGATCTCTCCCCCATTAGCGATACTCGGCGATCGATGGAATGCCAGAGAAGAATTACCGTTTGGGAGCTGGTGATCGACAGCTGAAGCCGTCAATGGCAGTGCAGGTATATATACGTGATTGCGCAGCCCTGCCGCCCAGTAGCAGTATTTCTGTTATAGGACGGCGGGAAAGTGGTTAATTACACAGTACCTTATCTGCAATTAATTAGCCTCAGAACTAATTAATGTGTTTGGTTTTAAAGGGATGCGGTGGCAACCCTAATAGCAGCACACCACAACACACATACTTTACTACATTTAAAAAAAAAAGGGTTCTGTGGTTTTTTTATTTGTTTTGTTTTTTTTTTTTTTTTTTTAATCTGTTGTGTTGCGTTTGACAGATTAAACCTACATTAAAGCATGCAATTACGCTCAAATGTTAACACACCTCAGTGGAACTTTTTCGTGTGAATGGGCCTTAACAGTCCAAGACTACGTACATTATTTTGGTGCCAGGGACCTGAAGCCTGTCAAAGGATCAGCTTCAATGAAGACAGTGCTGGGCTGTTAAGTGTCTGTTTGTTAAAAGTGACTTTTAATTTTTTTACAACAGGAGCAAAGTGTCTCTGTAAAGCTGAACTGTGGGCAAAAATAAAAGTTTTCCCTTGCAGAGGGGCTGTGCCCACTTTGCAAGGGTTAAATGCTAATTTTTTTTCTAGGGAAAAGATGAAGGGAGATATACTGTGTCCTGAAAAAGTATTCATACCCCTTGAAATTTTCCACATTTTGTCATGTTACAACCAAAAACGTAAATGTAACTTCTTGGGATTTTATGTGATAGATCAACACAAAGTGGCACATAATTTTGAAGTGGAAGGAAAATGATAAATGGTTTTCAAAGTTTTTTACAAGTGTGGTGTGCATTTGTATTCAGTCCCCTTTACTCTAATACCCCTAACTAAACTCCAGTGGAACCAATTGCCTTCAGAAGTCACCTTCTTAGTCAATAGAGTCCACCAGTGGGTAATTTAATCTCAGTATAAATACAGCTGTTCTGTGAAGCCCTCAGAAGTTTGTTAGAGAACATTAGTGAACAAACACCATCATGAAGGCCAAAGAGCACACCAGACAGGTCAGGGATAAAGTTGTGGAGAAGTTTAAAGCAGGGTTAGGTTATAAATATATATATATATATATATATATATATATATATATATCCCAAGCTTTGAACATCTCATGGAGCACTGTTCAATCCATCATCCGAAAATGGAAAGAGTATGGCACAACTACAAACCTACCAAGACAGGCCGTCCACCTAAACTGACTGGCCGGGCAAGGACAGCATTAATCAGAGAAGTGGCCAAGAGGCCCATAGTAACTCTGGAGGAGCTGCAAAGATCCACAGCTCAGGTAGGAGAATCTGTCCACAGTCGTGCACTCCACAAATCTGGCCTTTATGGAAGAGTGGCAAGAAGAAAGCCATTGTTGAAAGAAAGCCACGTTGGCGAGAAGCCATGTTGGGGACACAGGAAACATGTAAAAGAAGGTGCTCTGGTTTCTTGTGAAGAAAAACATCCAAGCCCGGCTAAATTTTGCAAAAACACATCTGAAGTCTCCCAAAAGCATGTGGGAAAATGTGTTATGGTCTGATGAAACTTTTTGGGGCTGTTTTTCTTCAGCTTGAACTGGGGCCTTAGTCAAGGTAGAGGGAATTATGAACAGTTCCAAATACCAGTCAATATTGGCACAAAACCTTCAGGCTTCTGCTAGAAAGCTGAACATGAAAAGGAACTTAATCTTTCAGCATGAAAATGACCCAAAGCATACATCCAAATCAACAAAGGAATGGCTTCACCAGAAGAAGTTTAAAGTTTTGGAATGGCCCAGCCAGAGCCCAGACCTGAATCCGATCGAAAATCTATGAGGTGATCTGAAGAGGGCTGTGCACAGATGCCCTCGCAATCTGACATATTTGGAGTGTTTTTGCAAGGAAAAGTGGGTAGATATTGCCAAGTCAAGATGTGCCATGTTGATAGAGTCATACCCAAAAAGACTGAGTGATGTAATAAAATCAAACAGTGCTTCAACAAAGTATTCGTTTAATGATGTGCACACTTATGCAACCGTATTATTTTACTTTTGTATTTTTACTTCCCTCCACCTAAAAGATTTCAGTTTGTTGTTCAACCAAGTTGTACAGTTTATAGGTTACATTAAAGGTGGAAAAAGGTCTGAAATTATTTGTCTCATTTTTGTTACATCACAGAAACCTGACATTTTAACAGGGGTGTGTAGACTTTTTATATCTGATCCTCTCGGTACAAGACTGGTCCCTGAGGCTCTTGCACCCCCATTCTTTTAGCAGTCTTGAGCAGTAGACTGTTTTTAATGTCATCAAGCCCAAAGTAGGCTCCATAAACCAGGAACAATCCACCACTGGATCGTTGGGGAGTGCTGTTTCTGGTAGAACGGAGGATCAGGTGAGTTTAAAGCTTTCTCCTCTTCCCCACACAAAATGAGTACTTAACCCTTGCAGTGTGGGCACAGCTTTTTTTTTGCCCAGAGTTTGGCTTTAAATCCCGTGCAACAAAAGTGTTTATTTACTGGACTGCACATTCTGGGACATTTCATGAACAATGCGACTCCACACGACTCCTGTTATAAAGTAAACCAAAGGTCATTATCTTATGTCTGCCAGAGTTATTTTATTTCTAACAATAAATAGCCTTTCTACAGAATGAACAAACAAAAGCCATTCCAGGCAAAGAGAAACAAAAAAATGAAACTATGTTCAAAGTCTAAGGACAGAACTTCATGTTACAATGAAATGAAACTTTGCTTAACCACTAGCCTACAGGGAACTTATCCCCACTTACTGCCCAGGCCAGTTTTCAGCTTTCAGCACTGTCACACTTTGACAATTGCGCGGTCATGCAACACTGTACCCATATGAAATTTTTATAATTTTTTTGTGACAGAGCTTTATTTTGGTGGTATTTAATCACCTCTGGGTTTTTTATTTTTTCTTAAATCAAAAACCACTGAAAATTTTGAAAACAAAAATGTTTTTTTCTTAGTTTTTGTTATAAAATTTTGTAAACAAGTGATTTTTCTCCTTCACTGATGTGCGCTAATGAGGCTGCAGTGATGGGCAGATAGGCTGCACTGGTGGACACTGATAGGTGGCACTGATGGGCACTGATGAGGAGGCACTGGTAGGTGGCACTGATGGGCATTGACAGGCATCACTGATGGGCACTGAAAGGCAGCACTCATATGTGTCACTGATAGGCGGCACTGATGGGCACTGATAGGTGGCACTTATGCACACTGATAGGCAGCACTGATGCACACTGATAGGCAGCACTGACTGGCACTGGTAGGTGGCACTTATTGGCGGCACTGATGGGTGGCACTGACTGGCACTGATGGGTGACACTGAAAGGCAGCTCAGATGGCCACTGATATGTGGCATTGATGTGCACTGGTAGGCACTGATATGTGGCATTGATGTGGCACTGATAGCTGGCATTGATGGACACTGACAGGTGGCACTGCTGGGGCTACACTGATCATCAGGGCACACTGATCATCAGTGCCCTGATGATCAATGTACATGTCCCCTCCGAGGAATGCCGAATTACCGGCTCTCCTCTCCTCTCGAGCTGTCAGCGTGACAGCTCTTGAGGAGAGAAATGCCGATTACCGGCTCTACTCTCCTCTCCTCTGTCATTGTGACAGCTCGTGAGGAGAGAAATGCCGATAACCGGCATTTCCCCATTTACATGCGATCAGCTGTGATTGGACACAGCTGATCACATGACCGAGCCGACATCTTCGGCTCTTTCCATTGATCCGTGATCCGCTGTGTCCGAGGGACACAGCGCACCGCCGATCGCCACACTGCGTGTTCCCGGAGCCGCGCATGCATGGTTAGAATGGGAGGACGTCATGTGATGTCCTCCCAGAACGAGAGAACCACCTTGCGCCCGTCATTGTACTATATGGAGGGCGGGAGGCAGTTAAAGTAGAAATGAAGGCAAACTTTTTTTTTTTTCCAAGACCCTGGAAAATTCTGAGTTTCTCAAATCCCATGAGTTCTCGGGATCCTCTGACGATCGGCTGATCCTTTCCACAACCCCCCCCCCCCCCCATGTATAAACCCTGTTAAAGGTTTGCAGGGAGCGAAGGGGATAAATAATGTAGTTATCCTTTAACCACTTTGGAAGACTTTACCCCCTTCATGACCAGACCATTTTTTGCTATTTAAACGTTACTTCAACTGGTAATTGCACTGTCATGCAATGCTGTACCCAACTGAAATTTATATCATTTGTCACACAAATAGAGCTTTCTTTTGTAGTATTTGATTAACTAACTGCCACTGACATCACCAGTGATATTAATACAGTGATAGTACTATACATTATCATTTTACTAATGACACTGGCTGGGAAGGGGTTAATATCTACGGTGATCAAGGGGTTAAATGTGTGCTTAAATATGTTTAATATGTGTAAAGTTTGCTGCCTTTACTGTTAGATCCGTTAGATTGCTCCCTCTGTACAGAGCTCTGTGTTGATTGTCAACACAGAGCTCTGGGCTGTGATTGTACACAGCCGATCAGCAGGTCCCAGCTGTGGAACCATTGGCCCAGGGATTGCTGACAGGCTCCCACTGTGTACAATCATGTATGCATCCTAAACTCGAAAGCAGGGAGTGGTGTATGGGTACGTCGCTCTGCCTGTGAAGGCACATTGTGGGCAGGTGGTCTGCAAGTGGTTAAGTGAGCTTCCCCTTCACAGTCTTTGCTCTTGAGAGATGACTGTGATTTTAGACACCTGCATCAGGAAGATTGACCTGCAGTGAGTGTTTGGTGAATGTTATACACAACCTGAGATTTAAACATGTTCTAACTGGATTCAATTGGAGAAATGTGTAAATTCTGGGAGAAAGTTGTGTGAATCCTGTGTGAAAACATTTATAAATAGACCCCAAAATGAAATGGGGGGTGGGGGGAGAGAGAAAAAACACATCTTGTACATAAAAAGTAGATTTCTTTAAAGTAAAAACTTTTTTCAGTTTTGAATAGGGTAAAGGAGGGTTCATTTTTTGTCATCTGTGTCCTATTGGGGAGATTTACCTTAATTTCCTGTCCCAGAGCCAAGTAAGGAAGTAAGAGGTTATCCCTCCAAAGTGAGGGAATCTCCTGGTGTCACCATAACTGGTGTCCCCACTGGAAGATTTCCCCTCTATTCCTATTCTACTGAAACCCCAAAATTTAGGATTTTCTTTTACTTTTAGTGGGTAAACCGGACAAATAGGCTGAATCTTCCTAACAGGAACACAGACAGGTTTTTATTGCTAACAGGTGTTCTAGTCCCTCTCCACCCCATCCAATACTAAAAAACAACTTTTGGCCTTTAGATCTACTGTATGTTAAGCAAGTTGGCTTTTTTTTTGTTTTTATTACTACTTTGTTTTATATCTCCTGACAGCATATTGTGTATATTACTCACAACACTGATTATAGTCAATAGTTTCTTCCAGGTGTTTATCAAGCAATGAAAAGCCAAAAATGCCCCCATGTGATTTTATACCAGAGGAGTACAAGGTAAGCCTGTTAGTGTCATTGCTGAGATGATCTCAGTATCACTGATAATGTTAGATGGCAGTCTATGGTGGTTGGCATTCATGCCTAGAGCTGGGTGGTTCTCACCAAGAATCCTATCTGTATGGAGTTTGCATGTTCTTGTATGTGCCAGTTTTCTCTAGGTTTATACTCTCAGTCCAAAAGCATGCTTGGACAGTAGGCAATGGACTATACAGCAACAAATAAGAGTTCTCCTTTCATTCTATTTTGCTAGAAACAGAGGTTCTGAATGGTTGAGACAGACAACAGAGACTGCCTGAGACTGGTCTTCCTTCAGACATTTTGATAAATGAGACCCAGTGTTCATCTGTTTACTAAAAGTAACCACAACATGGGGTCCTAAAAATGGTGGCCACCTAGTAGAACCTATACCAGCCAGGCAGATAAAAACAGGTGAAAGAGCACAGGGAAGTTAAAAATAAGGGGTTGGGGTTCTATCAAGTCTTTCAACTTTCATGAAGAGTTTACACATTTCAACAAGTTACGTCTCGCATATCTAAGAATGGACAGATGTGGGGGACGAGTTTGAAGGTCGAAGATAATGGTCCTATTGATGATATTATGATAATGGAAAGTAGAGAGATTACCAAACTGATCTGATCAGGCCAAAATCAGATTCCCAGGATTCTGCTATTGTGAGAATTTACTTCATTTCTATACATGTTACGTCCTAAGGTGGGGACTTCTTCAGTATAAGTCTTATGCAGAAGAAGTCCCCAGCTTAGGACGTAACACGTATAGGAGCAGAGACGAGATTGTGATGTCATCCCTTGGCTATCTCGCATGCAATTTGAAAGCTTTGTTGGAGTTGTACCGATTAGAAATATAGTTCCTGCACTTTTGCTGATTTGGGGCATGAATTGCATAGACATTTGTGCATGAAGTCACACAGATTTCTATGAAGTGGCATCCGAAACCGCCATCTGAGTTTGAAATCATGCGACTTCAAATTAAGTTTTATTCCTCGAGTAGTATCAATAAATTTCAAAACCGAGAACACTAGTGGCTTTATTTTTTACTTCCATGTGAATACATTTCCATGCTTGGTGAGGAGGAGAGTAGTGTATCCCAGATAACCCTTCAGATAGGCAAGCGCATTTTGGCCTTACTATTTATTCAGGAATCATGTATTTGAAGTGATTGGCCAATGGTGGTGGAGATACAGCGTGCACTTGAGTTTTTGGGGGGGGTTTGCAAAATCTGACATGCATGCACATAATGGTGCATTTGGAATAATTTTCATTGGACTGCACTATTATTTGGACTTTACAAATAATTAAACAATATAATTTATATAGTGTTTTTTGAAAATTATTTCCACTTTTATAGTTGTGTATTTTGTGCTCCATTTATTCAGCCCTGGTTCACACTGATGTGACTTTGCTCAAATCGCATCCAATGATCGGCAATGGAACTGTTCTAATCGGTGCAACTCCGACTTTTTCAGAGTCACGTTGATTAGAAAAGTAGTTCCTGCACTAATTTTGTCAATTTTGGGTGCCACTTGCATAGACATCTGTGCATGAAGTTGCACAGATGTCTATGGAGTGGCACCCGAAGTCACACTGCCGTCCGACTTTGAAATCGTGCGACTTCAAGTGAAGTCGTACGATTTCTAACTTGCATGCAGTGTGAACGGGGGCTTAAAGTTGTGCTGCACTGTGTTTGTTTTATTAGGTATATTTGTAAGGTGGAGTGAAATCGCTTTATTGTGTTTTTAGCTTCCAACTTCTTAGTTATACTTTATATTTATATATTTCTTATTTGTATATTTTTGGCTATGCTGATTGATTCTCTATATTTGTAGTCACAAGTACTACCTGTTGTCTCCCTGCATCTGATTCTCTATTCATTTTATATTTCAGAAGGAATTCAAGACAAAAGATACATTTTTTTGGGTTACTGTTTAGGTGCAATTAACACTTTATAGAGGCTCTATATAAGAGTCACTTTTGGAGTTCAGTGCACTTGAAGCTTTGAGTATTCAGGACAACAGGTTTTCTTTAATCTCCCTTCCCAACATATGCTTGCTTTGTTTTCAGTCTTCTTCACCACTGGGCCAACCAGCATTGTCACATGGGGAGTTCATAGTCCTACGTAAGTGATGGCTTCAGTGGTGTATAGCATACAAAGGAAAGTATGCAGATGCATTGGTTCATTATAAAAACTGCTCTCCTGTTGAAGACTCCTTCCAGTTGTATACATTAAGTCTTGAGTCCTACTGTTCTAAAAAAAAAAAAAAGTGGTTTTCACACTGGCCTCTTCTGGTATTACACACTGAGGGATAGGATTGTCAAATTGAGGCTTGGATTCACTTCCTGTATGGACATCGTTGATCTAGATGTCCCTATGTGAGGGTGGCCATTCTCCGTAGATTTGGCCATTATGAACAACCTTTTGAATTTCAAGTAGAGGCCAAGTCTGCAAGTTGACTCCTTTTGACAATGGCCAAATAGAGAATGGAACTGTGAAACCGAGGCTTGGGGTCACTTCCTGTGCCATCCACGTCCGGTGATCGGTTTCTACTGGTTGTGCTCCAAATCGAGGCTTGGATATTTCTTATTTAAAGCGCGATGGCAGAGGGTGGTTCTGTAGCCCCTAGAGGACGTCTTTTGATAAAAAAAACATGTCGGGCAGAGTCTCCCCCTGATGTTATCGCGCTGTCAGCCATCTTGGATATGGATCATGTGAATGCTTTTAATTGTTCTACAGCTTGTAAGTAGGATCCTATTTGCACAAATAAAGAATTTTTTGATACATATTGCACTATGAGAGACATGTTTTTTTCTTTCATGACCTTCTCTGGCACTACATTTTGAGTTTTCATTCAAGCTGGAGTCCGGGAAGTTCCATGTTTTGGGGCGTGATACGGGAAGCCTGCCAGTGCTCTACATTATAAAGCTGGTTGGGACCCCCTGTAATTAAGGGGTCTCTATTTCTGGTAAGCCTCCATTCGTTACTTTGGTGGTGGTGTGCACTCTGGTGACCAGTTGAAGCAAGTTTATCTACATTTGCACTTACAGCATTGTCTACAATAATACCATCAATTGTGGAATTTTCTTCTCATACTTATGGTTTATGTCTATATGGAATTTTTGTTATTGTTTTTGAAATTTTTCTACTAACCTTTATGTATATTTGAGGTGAATTTTTTGCACATTGAGATTTGACCTATCCTCCACAGCGATCACTCTTCAGAGTTGTGTGTGTCTTCATAGGGCTTATAGATAATGCATGATATTTTAGGTTCATTTGACCACATATCACGGTTTCTTACACATACCGTATTTTTCACTCCATAAGACGCACCTGACCATAAGATGCGCCTAGGTTTTAGAGGAGAAAAACAAGAAAAAAAATATTCTGAACAAATGGACTGCAGAAATAGTACAGGAAATGACCAGACACTGCTGACACAGTACATAAGATGACCAGAGACTGCGAACACAGTACAGGAGATGACCAGAGACTAGAGACACAGTACAGGAGATGACCGGAGACTGCGGACACAGTACAGGAAGTGACCAGAGACTGCAGACATAGTACAGGAGATGACCAGAGACTGCGAACACAGTACAGATGACCAGAGACTGCGAACACAGTACAGGAGATGACCAGAGACTAGAGACACAGTACCAGAGACTGCGGGCATAGCGCAGGGGATGACCAGAGACTGCGGACATAGCGCAGGGGATGACCAGAGACTGCGGACATAGCGCAGGGGATGACCAGAGACTGCGGACATAGCACAGGGGATGACCAGAGACTGCGGACATAGCGCAGGGGATGACCAGAGACTGCGGACATAGCGCAGGGGATGACCAGAGACTGCGGACATAGCGCACGGGATGACCCAGAGACTGCGGGCATAGCGCAGGGGATGACCAGAGACTGCGGACATAGCGCAGGGGATGACCATGGACTGCGGGCATAGCGCAGGGGATGACCATGGACTGCGGGCACAGCGCAGGGGATGAACATGGACTGCGGGCACAGCGCAGGGGATGACCAGGGACTGCGGGCACAGCGCAGGGGATGACCAGGGACTGTGGCACAGCACAAGGGATGACCAGGGACTGCGGGCACAGCGCAGGGGATGACCAGGGACTGCGGGCATAGCGCAGGGGATGACCAGAGACTGCGGGCACAGCGCAGGGGATGACCAGAGACCTGTCATCTGTCCCAGAAGACGCCGGACCATTCACAAAGCGCAGTGCTTCTCGCACATGAACAGTGGGCACCCTGTCACAGCCAGGTGCCCACACTAAAGATGCCTGCGCAGGAAGACTGCACAGCACTGGACCGAGGAACAGGTAAGGTCCTGCTGCAGAGAAGAGAGCCGAGCGGCCGACCCAGTATTCTGACGCGGTGGCAGCGGAAATACCGGACCGGCCGCTCCATATTCACTCCATAAGACTCACTGACATTTTCCTCCCTTTTTTGGGAGGAAAAAGTGCGTCTTATGGAGAGAAAAATACGGTATTTATGATTACTGTACTCAGTTTATTCAATCAATTTTTTTTCAAATTTTGATCGCCCTGCAGAGGGATGAGGGTCTTCATAGGGCATATGTTCTGTCTCTCCAATCTAAGCATTGATAGTGTGATCTCTGTAACTTACAGTTGTGATGAGATAGCGATAACTTCAACCTCAGTTGGATGCCACAGTCAGTAACTCAATTGATAAGACATCTTGTAGAAGTTTATTCCATAAACTGAGTGAGTGTTACAACAATGAACATTCGATAGGTCAAAAGATCATAATGTGATCTACTTCATGACATGAGGCTAGAAGCTGCAATGCATTTCTGGGAAAAAGGGTGGGCTATCTATACAGCATTATCTAACCCAAAGGAAAGGGAGGAGCAGAAACGAAATATAGAAATACTTAAAGGCATATGACAGTCAACATGACAGTCATGTGAAACAGCATATGTATACACTTATTTAGTTTAACTATTAGTGTTTCATTTTGAATTTTTGATCGTTTTTTCAGAGGTGTTAAGGTCTCCATAGTGCTCATAACGAGGGTTCACCTAGCGCAGTATCTATTTGAACTGTAATAACTTAGAAAGGGAAACACATGGGAGTGTCCAAATTAAATGCTGGTTCCCTAAATGGGTGGAATGGCAAGAACTTCAGGGAATGAGATCTTCGCACAAAAACATCAAGAAAAGGAGGAGAGTAATGATAAAGGATATAGGTGTCCATTTATGAACCAGCGGTAATAGATCGCTGCCCAGTTCTCCGGCATTCTCGGTGTAGCGGTGTAGATCAGTTCTCCAAACGAAGGGAGAACGATGTACAAACGCTGGAAAACGGCTGATTTTACTATAATTTCTCGAGATTACAGTAAAAAATCAGTTTACTAAGCAGAGGTAAATTATCGCTGCTTAGTTTGCGTTTTCTCCGAGTCTCCAGCTCTGGGCTGGAGAATCTGGAGGGAGAAGACAGATCTCCAGTGAAGGGCTGAACATGTTCTCCGCTGATCTCCTGAGTGTCATAAACTGTGAATGACCAGAGAATAGCTGAAATTCTCGGAATCGCAGCTATTCTCTGTGTCATAAGCGGACACCTTAGTCACTATTCAAGTTGGAATATGTATGTTCAACAAGGACTCTGCTCTAGACTTGTGGACCATGGCCAGACAACAAGCTGCACTTGGCAAGGAAAACTTTAGGGCAATGATACACAGCTGAAGATAGTTTGGAAAAAAGCTGCACTAGAATTAGGTCTATAACAAATGTGGGAATTAACCTACACTAACATACAAGTGTGTTTGCTGGGGGAGAAGCCCAGGATCAGGCCACAGTACCATGCTCCCATAGGTACAAGGATGATGTAAGCAGGCACCTGGTTTGCCATTGGCAAAAACCATGCTGGCCCAGGGCACCTTTTCTCACCTTTCTGAGACATGAACAAGATGAGGTACTCAACACCTGTATTATGGAGGAATTCCACCAGTAGGAGCTGCTGGTAGATTAGCCCTCTGACTAGTTTTTTCCCGCTTTGCTGGGATGCTGCCTCTGCCTGACACTTATGCAGAAGAAGTCTTTACCAACTTTGCATACAAAAAACAACACCAAAGGTAACTGGGCCCAGGCGTCACCATATACTCCAGCCAACTTAAACACTGCCACCAGAAATTTGGCATAAGGTTGGCCATACACTATACAATTTTTTGTCCAATTTCTGCCCAATTTCCTTTAGATTTACCTTCAACTATGTACTGCAAGAGCCTGCCTAATTGGATACAATTGAAAGTGTCATTAGGTTTGACCTCCTATCATTATATGGCTTTTGGTAAATCTAAACCAAAAAGCTCAAGAAAATTGTATAATGTATGGCCAGCCTAACTCTGCTAGCTCCAAGTCTGCCTGCATAACTTTCATTTTAAAACAGGTGAAACACATTTGCAAAAATTAGGGATAGTGAGACAGATTGTTGTGAGATAGAATGGGGCAGTCTTAGGATAGTTACTTCTGCCAGCTCTTGTTGGGGTCCTTACAGTGGTGCACAGCTGGTGATGTTTGGTGGCTTCCAGTTCAAAGTAACAACCTATTAGGGAAATGTTAGTGGGGTAAGTTCAGAAAGAGATAAAGGTAATATTATGTAACTGGGCGATCCTGGGTAGATGCTGTAATGGCGTTCTATGGTAGACTAAACAGGCAAGGAAGAACCCAGAGAGTGGGCGTTTGAGATTGTGTTGAGGTAAAGCTGCAGTTCTTGCCGTACAGTATGAGCAATTGTTATTTCTTACAACAATTTAGGGGGTACCATTCAACCTTTCGAAGTAAAGTTTTTAACAGAATTCCTTAGCTCTGGATTTTTTCTCCAACAGGGCCTCAGAGCCTACCTTCGAGGAATATTTCTCTAAGTTTCCTATCCCTCACATGCTAGCAGCACTAAATCATTACTTCCCATCAGTCTCCTCTCTATCTTGCAGGGGAACCTTATATAATATGATGAAATGAAGTGGAGTTTGCTTTAATGTATATCCTTTTCCATGCAGGGTATTCCATATATGAAGAAATCGTAAATATCCGCAAGACAAAGTTGTCTGCAATGATCACCTATTACAAGAAGCCCATCTTGGCACACCAGGGACACATGCAGTGGCTGTTCGATCATGAAGGGAAGCGTTACTTGGATCTCTTTGGAGGGATTGTCACTGTCAGTGTTGGACACTGCCACCCGTACGTATGAGTAAAACCTGGAACTAGGCAGGAGCAGCATATCTCTGGTATGGCTAATAATGCATATACATGCAAATAAATATCTACCATGCGTATTATACAGATATATGCCTACTATGCACAAAGTGTTTCAAATTAAAGCAGGCCTTTTCCCAACCGCAATACGTGTTTTTGTTAAAGCAATTCCCTGCAGCAGGCTTGCTTTAATTGGTTTGTTAGACAATGCAATTGTTTTATGGCTTAGACAAACTTAACAAGCATTTTCTTGCCGAATTGTAAAGCTGAACATTCAGATATAGTACCTCCATGATCCAAGTAACACACTGACCAATTCTGGAGCAGGCCTGTAGAAATTCAACTCTATAAAGAACATTGTGTTGTTCTTTAACCTTTCCCTTTCTTTATTGTTAATGTTTAACCAACCCCTAACCCTGAACATGAAACCATACTACTTATTTACCCTGGCCTGACGCTTAACCTTTAAAACTGAACCTCCCCAATTCATGACCTAAAACTTCAAATACTGTAATATACAGTAAATACATAACCCTGAGTTGAACTCCATGATCTTTATTGCATACTTGCATTAGTCCAGCTTGTCACAATGTAAATATGTATATCTCATACTTAAAGCGGAGTTCCAGCTAAAAAAAAAAAAGTCGGCAGCTACAAAAACTGTAGCTGCTGACTTTTAAAATACAGCCACTTACCTGTCCCTCGGTCCAGTTTTCTCTCCCTGGTGCCGGCATCTTTAGTGTGGGCATCCAGCTGTGACAGATTGCGGCTTCATTGCCCACCGGATGCCTAATACGCGAGAAACGCTGCGCTTTGTGAATGGCCCCACGTGTCCCAGAAGACTACGGGGAGGGAAGACAACTTGTCCCTGTCACGTGTCCCAGAAGACTACGAGGAGGGAGGGAGGACAAATTCCGGTTGCCTAGGCAATCGCAGTCGAAGTGGGAGCCGAAGTTGACAGGTACCCGCTCCCCAAAGGTGCCAATCCTTAATGGGATCAGGGGACAAAGCATTAAAGCGGAACTTCCCCTTTTCGGTGGAACTCCGCTTTAATAGACCACTAGGGAAGCGGACAATTTCTGTAGTAATAGCCACGGAAGATCTGGTCGGCTACAATTCAAATGCTGTAATCTGCCTATATTAATGAACCACAAACATTGTAGCATAAAAACACTATAAAGCACAAAATGGGGGAGAAAAGATTATGATTAAGTGCGAAACGCGTAAACATTTTTTCTCCCTCACTGTGTTTATTCTAGTGGGTTTTTTTTTTGTTTTTGTTTTTTTTATGCTGATATGTTTGTGGCTCATTAACAACTTTTCATCATTTCGGCCATGCAGCTGCACTGCGGGCATGATCTGTCACCAGTTGTGTCCACCAGGCCAAGCCGTACCAGTCCTCACTGTACCAGCCCACTGCCAGTACCATGTGATCGCTGTGACCAATCACAGCAGATCACATGACAATTGTGAACAATGAATAGTTTCAAATGATGCCATTGTGTTTCTAGCTGTGATTGATCACATAGTGCAGACGGCCAATCACAGCACATCTGTACCACGTGATTAGCTGTGGCCAATCTGTTAATCACAACACTGAATCGATTTAATCCAATTTCATCCAGTAAAAATGCTTGTTTATAGCAGTGAAATTCACTGCTTTAAGCAATCATAATGTGTAAAAAAAAAAAAAAGATTCTTGATCATTTACCTAGAGGATTTTTTTTTTCATTCCATATTTTCAAAAAATCCTGACGTAAGAAAATTACGCCAAAAAAACTTGCCATGCTTCATATTAAATACCTTGGACTGTCTACTTTCCGAAAAGGGGTCATCTATTTGTACTGTTCTCGTGGTTTTGGGCCTCAAGAAAAAAGATAGGCCATCAGTACATCTGTATTGATCGTTTTTTGTTTTTTTTTTTCCTCAGATATATCCCATAGTTTGTGGACTCTATAACTTTACAACAGACTATATAATAAACACTGATTGGAGTTATTTTCACCAAAGAAATGTAGCAGAATACATTTTACTGTAAATACACATTAAGGTCCTGGAGTGGCCTAGCCAACAGTTTTAAAAAAAAAAAAAACAACAATATTTTGTATTTTTTCCTTTAAAACATATCCAGTAAAAAAATCTAATTTCTTCATAAATTTAGGACAAAATGTATTCTGCTACGTGTCTCTGCTTAAAAAAAAATCCCTATAATTGTATATTACTTGGTTTATGTGCAAGTTATAGCATCTACAAATGGCGGTATATATACTGGAATTTTTAATTTTGTTTTTATACTAGTAATGGCGGCGATCAGCTATTATAGCAGGACTGCGTCAGGCATTCTGACACTGGGTGGGAACTAACTGCCACTTACATCCCCAGTGACACTAATACAGTGATCAGTGCTTATAAAAAGTACTGACACTGTACTAATGGCACTGGTCAGGAAGGGATTAACATCTGGGGCGATCAAAGGATTAACTGTGTGCTGTGTGTGTTACATTTTGTGTTGTGTGTGTTTTGCTTGGGAGCCATGCTGCTTTGTATCTCTTTGCTGTGTAGAGAGATGCAAAGCAGCATGTTACCACTGACAGGAGAGAGACCGGTGTTGTTTTACATAGGTCTCTCCCCTGTCAGCCTTGCCACCAATTGAATGCCATCCGCCCCCTACCCGGAAATGCAAATCACGTGTATTTTGCGTGTATTTTGTGATTTTGCGCAGCCTTGTAGCAGTACTTCTGATATAGGGTGGATAGCAAGTTAAACTGAGTTTTTCATATAATCCATTGTAAACAGATTTCACAGGATTTTCATTGTATGTCTCGGCAAGACTGCTGCCTGTATTGCTAGATCTATGGTTCTCAAAGTTCTGTAGACTGTAGTCACAGATAATAGTGGCCCACCTATGGCTTTGTCCACATCTTACCCTTTAAAACTCAGGGTTGCTGTTGCAAATCATGGGGCCCCCATACATCCAACCTGACAGCCCCCCCAAATAAACAGTTTACTATGCTTCAGTTATGAAGGAACACAATGAGTGATCAGTACTGATCACTCATTGTGTTTATTGAGAAAAGGAAGGGGCTGGTAAATGTTACACATTTATCGGACACTTCACCCACTCTCCATCCTGAAGGATCCTATTGTGTGCTTGCAGCTTGCAAGAAGGAGAGGAGGGAAGCACTGCAGAAGTTGGGGGAGGGGGAGCACTGAGGCAGTTGGGGGGGTGCACATAGGGGGCATCCAGGCAGCTGGGGAAACGTATGGTTAACCAGGAGGGTGATTGGTTTGGCAGGGGGCAATATGTGAAACTGATCCCCTGTATGGCTCTCTCTGCAGCAGCTGAAAGGCAGTGGGAGGGAGAGGAGAAGCCAGCTTTCAGCTGCTGCAGAGAGAACCATACAGGGGATCGGTTCCAGTAACTGCCCCCCTCACCCCCACCCTTAACCTAACTACTGAGTTATATTTGGGGCACATCGGGCCTCATCAGTTCATTGTCCCCTGTCTTTCCTAGGGCTTGGAACCATACAGGAACTAAAACGGAACGGTTTTAAAGGAAGCATGACTAGCTACACCACATATACTAATATTACTGTTTTTTTTTGTAATTGTAGGAAAGTTACAGAAGCAGCTAAAAGACAGATTGATCGTCTTTGGCACACAACCAATATTTACTTGCATTCGCCAATCCATGAATATGTTGAGAAGTTGACAAGTCGCATGCCTGAGAAACTAAAGGTATTAAACACTTATGCATAATCAATAGCTAATCAAAAAAAGATTGAAAGGTAGATAGATGGGATCCCCTACGAACTCACATCCAGGGATATTGAGGCCTTGCTGCCCTCCTACGAACGGGGAATTCCTGCAATACTGCAAAAAATCAAACAAAAGAGAAAAAGGGCACAGCAGCCTAGTGCATTATCCCCTTGAGTTTATTGGTTGTATACAAAGCTAAAAATATACTCACAAACATAAGTAATATATGGCACGTAAAATCAACACTCGTGGCTCAGAGGATGTGAAGACCCAAGTGGACCCAACGCCAGAAGTGTTGATTTTACGTGCCATATATTACTTATGTTTGTGAGTATGGTTTTTAGCTTTGTATACAACCAATAAACCCATGGAGATAATGCACTAGGCTGGTGCGCCCTTTTTCTCTTTTGTTTGATTTGAATGGAATAGGCCAGGCTGGCATATCCATCAGATCACCCCTGATTTTAAGGAGCCTGGTGGGAAGATGTTCACCGTTGTCAATGCGGTTAGGACAGATGCTGAGTTTGTCTGGGAGCTACATTTTGCCTTCAGTCTCGGTGTTCATGTTTGCTAATATGATAAACCACATGGGGCTACAAATGCCTCCGCTGGGCACCTAGACATGGAATATCTGGCTTAAGCAAAGGTTTGCTTTAACTGCTCTTTGACTATCTTCTTTAGCATGGTTTCTCAAACCAGTGACTTCTAATGTGGAGCTAAAGGCAAAACTTTTTTTTTCTCATTTTAGTTAGAATAAGAGAGGGTTATAATTCTCGTATGCCATCTGTGTCCCATTGGGGAGATTTCTCTTCACTTCCTGGTGCAAATCTAAAACTGGAACTGTGAGGAGATCCCTCCAAAGTGAGGGAATCCCTGTTTGTTACCAGAATTGGTGTCACCATTGGAAGATTTTTTTCCTCCATTCCTGTTCTGGTAACAACCCATAATTTGGGATTTTCTTTCAATTTCATGGGACAAATGGAAATAGTGACTCTCCTGAACAGCGATACAGATGGCAATAAACACCTGATGGATATTCAAATCCCTCTCCTCTTTTTCAAAAACTACAACTTTTTACACTTTAACAAGTCATGTTTACCAGATCTCTGCAGAGAATCACTGGTAAAATTTAATTTATTTTAAAATAGCAAAGTAGAACTATGGACAAAATCTAAAATTGCATATATGCTCAATGCCAGGACATGGTCCTCTGGTAACCAAAGCAGGAGCATGGATACCAAGGTGGATCATGCTTTACTGGGGGTTGTTTTGCCTTCCTCTGGATCTAGGGTTCTATGTATGGAGGTTTTCTATTTTTTTTTTTTTCTGGTTTTTTTTCAGATTTTTTTTTCTATTGTTTGAACTAGATGGACGTGTCTTTTTTTTCAACTTGACTTTGGAGCTATGTACGGTAGACCCCCCACAAGGCAAAACTGGAAAAACTAAAAAAAAAGTGACAAATTTAAAGCTGCCTACAATATGGAGGAAGCTTTTACAAAATGCATAAATAAATCTGTAATTGCAACATCCCTTCTTATTTACCTAATTAAATGGTGAGGTGCAGTTCTCAAAACACTATATTCACAAACACAAGCCAAATAAAACAGAGAAAACTGCAGTTCAATCAAACAGAATAATAAACTAAATCCTTAATACCTTAAACTTTATTGGGAAAATCCTTAAGGCTGTATTCACACCTACACGTTCTGGAAATGCATGAAAAACGCGCTGAAATATGCATCATTATTTTTTAATGTCACCCTAAATGCGGGTAGCACCTGCGTGCTTTGTTGTGTGACAAAATGTGAAAAACACAATGAAATGAACCATGCTTACTGCCAAAATAAGGTGCAGGGGCTACTTTGGCACATTTGTCAAGCCTAGGGCAGTCCAGTCAAGTGAATGAGCTGCCCTATGTTGTTGTATAACAAATGCACAAAAAAATTCAGGAAAAAAACACGACTCTTAAACCATGTTTAACACTTAAGTTTGCTTCCATTGTTATTCCGTACCAGGGATGGTACGTACATTGACTGACTGAAAAGTATTTCATATGCTGGTGGCTGCCATTTCATTGAAATCTTCCACCCTTGTTCCCCAATATCCCTGTGATCTCCCAGAGCTGCAGGGGTTAATATGAGCCACAGGTACTCATGAAAAATGTTGATTAAGCCTGCCCTTTCCAGCTCCCTCCTCCATTCATAGAAGCTGTACTTTTTGCTTCCCACATAGAAAAGCACTCTGTGAATGGAAGACAGGCGGATGAATCAAAGGGTCACCTCCTCCATTCATAAAGCGCTCTTCATTGCAGGAATAGATGGTAGAGCTTTTATGAATGGAGTAGGGGTGCTGAAAGAGCAATCATAGTCAGCACTTTAGATGAGGCCCAGCAGCTCTGGATGATTACAGCTGTGGAGGGCATGGGGAGGCAGAGGAATGAAGATTTCTACAAAAATAGACTTCATGAGACATTTTTCATTCAATGTAAGTACCTTCCCTGGTGCTAATTAAAAACAAATATTTAAAGCAGAATTCTGGGGAAATGTTTTTTTTTTCTCCCTGTGCGGTGGGGCTGTGCCCGCACTGCATGCGTTACAGCTCATTTTGTTCTAAGGGTGAGGAAGAGCGGAGACCTCCCCACACAAGCCGGTCCCTTTGGTTCCTGCCCCCCGCACATTCCATAGAAGGGAATAGTGCAACCCTTGAGCATGGGGGAGCGTGATTTTCCAGAGGATCGTCAGGTCAGGTGAGTATGAGCTTTGTGCTCACCCCTAGAAAAACCGAGCATCTGATCCATGCAGTGGGGGCATGGATCACTGCATGGTGAAAAGAAAAATGTCCAGAGTTCTGCTTTAGCTAAACTTAATCTTTAAAAAAGGAGTCAATTTGCCCTCATGAGGAAAAAAATTAAAGGGACAATTGCCACAAAAACACACAAGAGCTAATATCATAGATATAGAAGTCCAACAAATATAAATAGTGATTTTATATATACATTTTTTTTAGAGGGTATTTATGTGCAATATAAACCTGGAGATACTGCAAATGTGTGTGATATTAAGGGGTTTATTTACTAAACCTGGAGAGTACAAAGTCAGGCTCACTTCTGCATAGAAACCAATCAGCTTTCAGGTTTCATTGCCAAAGCTTAACTGAACAAGCTGAGGTTAGAAGCTGATTGGTTTCTATGCAGAAGTGAGCCTGACTTTGTACTCTCCAGGTTTAGTAAATAAACCCCCTAATGTCAAAGCATATTATGCTCAGTTTGTGAGATATAGGGGTGGATTTACTAAAGGCAAATTAACTGTGAACGTTGCAAGCTGCAATTGCTCAGTAAATGAGCTGAAGCTCTGCTGACGTCTATCATGTTTAACCCCTTCACACCTAAGGGTAAAACAAATCGAAATGCCTAAGCACAATTTTGCAATGCTGACATGTGTTAGTAAAAGCTTACATATCATCACAACTACTTTGTACATCCAGGTGAATTATACCTTGTTTTTTTTAGGACAAATTGGGCTTTCATCTGATGGTAAATGGTAATGGATATCTCCTAATTTTTTTTTCTTATTATCAAAGGAAAACTGGCCCAAAATAGTAAAAAAAAATAATTTTGTTTATTTAGCTGTGTGTTTCTTGTTACTACCATAACCTACCACCAAAGAACAGCTCAAAAATAAATTCTCCAGCTCTTGACGATCGCAGTGATATCATATATGTGTATGTTACTTGATGTTTGTACATGTAGTACAGCCCAGAAAAAATAGTGCACATTTTGTTTTGTCTTTTTTTTTTTAAATCTTTGACCCTGACCTTAACCAAAACACTAACCCTGGCACTGATCTAGATCAAACCTTGATCTAGGTATTTTTTCTTTATTTTTTATTTTATTTTGTTATTATTTATTTTACAATAATTTTTTGTTCCCCTCTTCGCCAGGAGTTAGAGAGATATAATGTATCTCTCTCCTCCATTCATAGAGAGAGAAAAAAACAAGAGGGATGGGCTGTACAGTGACTGATCACTGATAGCCAATCAGAGGCTATCACAGTGATCATGTGAATTGGGGGTCCAAATCGTTAGAATGGGACCCGGTGCTCTCAGTGACACCGCGGTCTTTGTGCTGGGAGGGCACCGTGTGCCGCTCTCCCAGCACAAAGACAAGTACGCAAATATGCAGCCCCATGGAAAAATCCCCAGGCTGCATATTTGTGTTACGTCGGCGTCAAGGGGTTAAGCAAAAATTCTGTGTGTGTTTTTTCGTTTCCTTGCATGTGATTTGAGTATTCTCTGCAAAATGAAGCTTCACTTAATTTACTAAACTCTGGAGCAACTGCACTTGCAAAATAGTCCTATTTGCCTTTTGTAACCCCCAGTTCACACCTATGCAGCCGTGCGAGCCGCACTTTGCATGGGCACGAGAGCTCATTCATTTGAATGGACTCCCATGCCCCATGACACGCAGGGAAAGAAGTCTCTGCACTTCTTCTGAAAATGCAGTCCACATGGGAACCTTGGTTCCCAGTACGGTTGCATTTTCCACTGCAGGCAGCGTGCCATTAGAACTAATGGCACCCACCCGCGGGTCCACATTTCTCTATGCGGGTGGTGTGGCTGCACGGTTTTTCGTGCAGATCCAGAGCGGCACTACCCGCACAGATGTGAACCTAGAGTAAATCAACCCCATCATCAATACACATATTACTAAATACATTTCAAAAGTCTCAGGAATACTTTTAGCTGGCTAGTTGACACGCTATGTTTCTCTAATTGATTTGACCACAAATAAAATTATATAAATCTCAAGTGAAACAATGAGAGGATTTTTCATTGCTTGAGGCATTAGTCTTGACACTGAAACATTGGGGCTGATTTACTAAAGGCAAATAGACTGTGCATGTTGCAAGTGCAGTTGCTCCAAAAGTTAGTAGATGAGGTAAAGCTTCACTTTGCAAGGAATACCCAATCACATGCAAGGAAAGTTAAAAAAAAAAAAAAAAAAAAAAAAAAAAAAAAGCTTTTTGCTTGCATGTTTGGATGATGGAAGTGCGCAATCCATTCATTAAGTCAATTGAATTGTTGAGGACAAGGCCCTCTTCCCCACAACCCTGGGCGGTGGTTGTGGGAGCCTGAGGGGTGGGGGCATATCTGAATCTGGAAGCCACCTTTAATAAGGGGGCCCCAGATCCTGTCACCCCCATGTGAATGAGTAGGAAGGGGGGGGGTTGACCAAAGAGACTTTTTTTTTATTTGCGTGTGTATAAATGTTTATGTGGATACATACATACATGCATATTTTAACCTACTGTATGTATTTTATTATCCTTCACATGCAGGTGGTTTACCTGATGAACAGTGGTTCAGAGGCCAATGACATTGCAATGTTTATGGCAAGACAATATACAGGAAACTTTGATATAATTAGTTTAAGGTAAGCTTGGGATATATTTGGGCCCTGGCTGGCAATGTGACAACTCAAGCAATGCCCGAAGGCCTGTTGTGTCTGAGAGAGTTGGAACTGAAATTCACTACAATGGCCTCTTTATTATCAATTGGTGTTCTCTTACTGGTATATCAAGATTGACTGACGGTGCTCTGCATACACTGTGCTGGAGCTCAAGACTTCCTTTTTGTACCCTAAGCTAAAGATCTTCCACACTTGCGTGCCCACACTGCTAAATGTATCATTGTATTTGGGCCTGGCTAACAATGTGACCGGTATCTACCTTCCTTGATGGCTTCTCTGCCTGGCTACCCTTCTTTCTCTCTTCTGAAGTCCCCACAATCATTCTCGGTTACTTCAACATCCCTTTTTAATGCTAACTCTCCTGCTACTTTGGGCCTGAAGCAATGGATACAGGCTTCTACTTGCTCCAGTGGCAACACCCTTGACCCTGTATTCTCCTATCATTGCACTCCATGTAACCTTTCTAACAAACCGCTCCCGCTCTCTGATCACCACCTTATTAGCTTTACTCTCTCCCTGTCTCTCACGTTCTCTCCCTCCAACCACCTAAGCAGGGGCAGACTGTCCATTCGAGCACTCGGGCACTGCCCGAGGGACCGGGGTCAGTAGGGGGCTCCATGAAATACCCCTGGTACCTTTTTTATAGGCTTTTTTGAGTGTGGGCAAGGACACAGGGGCCCCATGATCCCCTATTGCCCGGGGGCCCCATGAGTTGTCAGTCCGCCCCTGCACCTAAGTTACCCGTAGAAATCTTCGCCACCTCAACCGTTCTCTTCTCCACTCTGCTACTGACGACCTCTATGACAATATATCATACCTGTCCTGCCCAGATCTAGCCACTTCTGTCTAAAACCGTTCACTGTCATCCTTCCTAGACAAGCTCGTCCCCCTCACTACATAAACAGTCAGGCCCAGACCCTACAACCTTGGAAAACAGATGACACCAGAGGTCTCAAAAAACAGCCAAACTCTTTAGCATCTGTGGCTTAAGACTAAGTCTCAGATTGACTTCAACCAATATAAATCTGCCTCCACACTGCCAGTAAGCAGACCTATTTCATTACTCTCATTAATACCACCTCATCCAGTCCCCATCAACTCTTCTCTACCTTCAACTCTCTTCTTCATCCTCCACTGTCTCCACACATTTACTCACTCACTGCGCAGGAGATCACCAATCAATTCATGAGGAGATCTCTGACACGCAGATACCTCCCCCTACTTAAAACTCCACATCCACAGGGACAATCACTTCTTCCTAGATTAAACCCCACTACTATAGACAAGGTTGATTAAAACTTTTTCTAGCTCCCACCTAACCACGTGCCCCCTGGACCCTGTACCGTCGCAAATGCTAAGGTCGCCCTCTGGCTCTATCCTACATTCTCTAACTCACATCTTCAGTCTCTCCCAGCATCTTCCTCAATTCAATAAAACATCCATTAGTCACCCCCATACTTAAAAAGCCCTACTAGACCTCACCAATATTAACAACCTACGACCCATCTCCTTACTCCCCTTTTCCTCCAAACTCCTTGAACTCCTGTTTTGACTGTAAATGTGCCATGGCTTTCAATACAATTTCTATGCTGGTGACACCGAAATCTATCTCTCTACCCTCAGCTCACTCCATAAGTCTCCTTATGCATCGCTAATTTACTAACAGACATGTCAGCCTGGATGAAAATTAATCTATCCAAAACTGAGCTCCTAATATTTCCTCCCTGACGTTCCCCTTCCACTGACTCTGTCAAAATCAACGGCACAAACATCAACCCATCCCCACATGCCAGGGTGCTAGGTGTGATCCTGGACTCTGAACTATCCTTTCGGCCCCACATCCAATCGCTGTCCAAAGCTTGTCACCTCAACCTCCGCAACATCTCCAAGCAATGCCCCTTCCTAACCACTGACACCACAAAGCTTCTAACTCCCTCCCTGGTCATCTCTCGCCTTGACTACTGCAACTTCCCTCTCACTGGCTTGCCTTTGCATAGGCTATCACCCTTCCAGTCCATCATGAATGCTGCTGCCAGACTTCTCCACCTTACCAACCGTTCAGTGTCTGCTACCCCTCTTTGCCAATCCCTCCACTGGCTCCCGCTCACCCAGAAATAAAATTCAAGATACTTACAACAACTTATAAAGCCATCCACAACTCAGCCCCTAGTTACATCACTAACCTGGTCTCAAAATACCAACCAAATCGTTCTTTTCATTCCTCCCAAGACCTCCTGCTCTCTAGTTTCCTTGTCATCTCCTTCCATACTCACCTCCAGGACTTCTCCAGAGCCGCTCCTATCATCTGGAACTCCCTTCCCTAATGTGTCCGGCTATCTCCATCTCTGTTCCACTTTTAGACAATCCCTGAAAACTCATCTCTTCAGAGAGGCCTATCCTGCAACTGCCTAACAACTGTACATGTATTTGTGCATTAGCCCAGGATTTCTCCAGAGCCGCTCCTATCATCTGGAACTCCCTTCCCTAATGTGTCCGGCTATCTCCATCTCTGTCCACTTTTAGACAATCCCTGAAAACTCATCTCTTCAGAGAGGCCTATCCTGCAACTACCTAACAACTGTACATGTATTTGTGCATTAGCCCATTCCCCACAGTTATTATTTTTTTTTGTATCTCTCAACCCTCCCTCTTAGATTTTAAGCTCTAACGAGCAAGGCCCTCTGAATCCTCCTGTATTAATGTGTATTGTAATTGTACTGTCTGCCTTTATCTTGTAAAGCGCTGTGTAAACTGTTGGTGCTATATAGAGGCTGTATAATAATAATAATAATATTATTATTAGCTCTGGTCAATACCTGAAGGCTTGTTGTGTCTGAGGAAGTTTGTGGACTAAACTGAATGCCAATGGGCTCTTTAACATCAGTTGGCGTTCTCCTATTAATTTATTATATAGGATTTATATAACTTCAACCATTTGCTCAGCACTTTACAATCCAAAAGAAGACAGTACAGTTACATGACTAGTGTAGAAGTGATGTGTTGTCAAATACTAACACCCCCCAAAAAAACATCAACTTCCGAAAAAAACTCCCATTTCCCAACACCCCCTCTGCCAATAAAAGGAGACCACACTTTGTTGAAGTAAAATGGCCTTCACGGCCTTTTATTAAGAATTTAACTTAAATATACAGAAAACATTTCTTAAAACAGAAACCTCCATAAACTTACGGAATGAGTTGTTGTTCTAGGCAGGCACCCAAAACAATATTGATCTTCCCCTGCAGAACCTTCACCTTAATGTTCCTACTAGGTCTCCAGCTGCAACGCACCCACTCAGAGACAAGGAGACACCTTCCGCAGGTAGACCTCCACCTTCCAGTTAAACCTTGGTTAACTGGAATTTACCTGGGCACACCATACCACAGATGGGTCCCAACTATATACTTTTCATCACAAACCATTAACAACCTACCAAGACCAACAACTGCCACCAAACTAAACAAGCCAAAGCAGAACAAACACCCCAGGGGAGGGCGGGCGGGAGCTTCTCTCTTCAGCTGCTAACCAGCACTGGCTCCTCCGACACCCCCCCCCCCAGCACTTCCCCAAGATTCAGGGGATGATCCTACCCAAACCTACTAACACCAATCAGGTAACCTTACTATCTTTTTTAACCCTTCCCCTTTAACTTAACCCTTTCCTGTCTTTTCTCCCTCTTCACCTAGTCATGTCTGCCCTGCACTATTCTTCTCTTTCTTTCTTTTGCTACGGACACCCATATACAAGAGGGTTAAGAGGACCCTGCTCATAGGAGTTTACAATCAGGTGGGGTAAGTGGTACAAAAGGTTATAACTGTGGCGAATGAGTTGATGGAAGAGTTAAAGGTTCAGTTGTTAGTTGGAGACGTGATAGGCTTCCCTAAATAGATGAGTTTTCAGGGATCGCCTAAAGGCGGCTAGATTAGGAGATAGCCAGACAGATTGAAGTAGAAGTAGAGCGTTCCAGAGGATGGGAGAGGCTCTGGAGAAGTCCTGGAGACAAGCAGGGGAGGAGGAGATTTGAGAGCAGGAGGTCTAAATCAAGATTGACAACAGTCTTTATACACTGTGCTGGAGCTCAAGGCTCTCTTTTGGTACCCTAGGCTAGAGACCTTCCACACCTACCTCTCTACACTGCTACTGAATGTAAACCTACCATCACAACCATTACTATTTATCAGTATTGTAAAGATCATAGTATCGACCTACATAGATTCCTTTAATCTTTCCCTTTCATTTACCAGTTTTATATATACTCTTAAATTGCAGCTCAGAATTGCTTTTCTACTGTCCATACTCCTATGTGCCTCTTGTGTCCACTCCACAGCCTCCACAGACCAGCCTTTCCTGTCTTTTAGTCTTCAGAGCAAAATGACAGGTTCTCTTGACACTAGTTGTTGCAATATGCTGTTCATTGTTTTTTTTGCCTATTTTGTTATTTTACAGAAGTGGCTATCATGGGTCCAGTCCATATGCACTAGGGATAACAGCACTCTCTACTTACAAGCCTGGAATGGCCAATGGATTTGGTTGCCATGCGGTAAGATTTAATACTCAAGTTTGGATGTGTAGTTTCCTCAAGTTCAAAGTCCATGTAGATTTATGACCATGTAGATTTGGGTTCAGGAAGTCACATAGCGCTACACTGGGTGCAGTAGGTGCAGCTGTGATGGGGCCAACAATAACTACTACTTAGCTGTGGTAGCCTTGTGTCTAGGTTACAACCACATGTCTATCCTATTCTATCTGCTCATTGAGCCGGTAGGCTTAGGAGGCCTTTCAGTTACATTAAAGTATGTTCAGTTTCTTTCAAATTCTTTATTTAAAAAGTATCCAACAAACCGCATCCAAATAGAAATGTTCACAGTTTCCTTCATCTACAATGTGCTCAAGATTCCTGTTAAACTAGATCTTAAGGCAATTTTTTTTTTTTTTTAAGAATTGGATAGAGTGACTTAAATTTGTTATGATCTGCATTGTAGACAATGTGTCCAGATGTGTTTCGAGGTATATGGGGTGGAAGTCATTGCCGAGATTCCCCAGTGCAGACAACACGAGCCTGTTCCTGTTCTCCTGGTAAGAGCTGATTCCTGAGTGTCTGGGTTTTTTTGGGGGGTTTTTTTAATCCATTAGATATACCTGTATATACACATCGGTGGTGGATTCAGCATGAATGTCTCTGTCCTTAAACCTTATGAATCTCATGAAGAGATAGGTCCCTTGGCCGTCTATGCATTACAGGCACATATTGCAATGCAAATCCTGTGTCAATGTGTCCATCGCATCAAATAGCACCCCAATGTACTAGCAGAGTAGCGGGCAACCCATTTGCACTGCAGTGCATTGTGGGATACGATGTGTGCATTTAGGGACATTGTGTTGGAAAAAATGCCTATGTTGTGGTGCATTGGCAGCCCATTTATGTATTTATTTATTATAGGTACTTATATAGCACCATCAATTTACGCTGCGCTTTACACACACTATATTGCCAAAAGTGTTGGGACGCCTGCCTTTCCACGCACATGAACTTTAATGGCATCCCAGTCTTTGTCCGTAGGGTTCAATATTGAGTTGGCCCACCCTTTGCAGCCTTAACAGCTTCAATTCTTCTGGGAAGTCTGTCCACAAGGTTTAGGAGGGTGTCTATGGAAAGGTTTGACCATTCTTCCAGAAGCGCATTGGTGAGGTCAGGCACTGATGTCGGACGAGAAGGCCTGGCTCGCAATCTCCACTCTTATTCATCCCAAAGGTGTTCTTTCGGGTTGAGGCCAGACAAGTTCCTCCACCCCAAACTCATTCATCCATGTCTTTATGGACATCGCTTTGTGCACTGTTGCGCAGTCATGTTAACAATTTGGGGATGACCCCTTACTGTTCCCACAAAGTTTGGAGCATGAAATTGTCCAAAATGTCTTGGTATGCTAATGTCTTAAGAGTTCCCTTCACTGGAGTTAAGGGGCCAAGCCCAACCACTGAAAAACAACCCCCAACCATAATTCCCCCCCCCCCCCCCCCCAACCTTTACACTTGGCACAATATAGTCAGGCAAGTGCCGTTCTCCTGGCAACCGCCAAACCCAGACACATCCATCGGATTGCCAGACAGTGAAGTATGATTCCTCACTCCAGAGAGCACATCTCCACTGCTCTAGAATCCAGTGGTGGCGTGCTTTACACCACTGCATCTGACATTTTGCATTGCAATTGGTGATGTAAGGCTTGGATACAGCTGCTTGGACATGGAAACCTATTCCATGAAGTTCTTTATGCACTATTGTTGTGCTAATCTGAAGGCCACATGAAGTTTGGAGGTCTTGAGCTATTGACTCTGCAGACAGTTGCGACTTCTGTGTGCAGTGTGCGGTGTGTGCTTTTTCGTGGCCTAATACTTGGTGGCTGAGTTGCTGTTGTTCCCAGTTGCTTCCACTTTGTTATAATACCACTAACAGTTGACTGTGGAATATTTAGTAACAAGGAAATTTCACAGATGGACTTACTGAGATCCTGAGAGCGACCCATTCTTTCACAAATGTTTGTAGAAGCAGTCTGCGTGCCTAGGTACTTTTTTTTTATACACCTGTGGCCATGGAGGTGATTGAAACACCTGAATCCAATGATTTGGAGGGGTGCACAGTACTTTTGGCAATATAGTGTATATATTGTACATTCACATCAGTCCCTGCTCTCAAGGTCCCTAACTGACATTCATACATACACATACTAGGGCCAATTTAAACAGTAATCAATTAACCTACCAGCATATCTTTGGAGTGTTAGAGGAGACCAGAGTACCTGGAGGAAACCCACGCAGGCACAGGGAGAACATGCAAACTCCAGGCACGTAGTCCTGTGGATGGGATTGAAACCAACAACCCAGTGCTGCTAAAATTTGAAAATGAATAGGTTGCCTTTACACAACGCACATCAATGAGAAGCACATCTGATTGAAAATACCCCTTTGAAGAAGTCCCATTCCGTTTATGTGATCATTTTAGTAAAAACTGTTTCCATCTGGTCTGAATAGTAACACTACTTTTCATAGTGGAATTCACAATATTTAAAGTTACGTGAAAAAGTATAACACCTCAAGAATACACATTTGTAGAATCCACATAAGATATACATAAAGTATATAAAGACATCTTCTCCTTAGGCCTCATGCACGCTGGGAGTGTGTACAGCTCTTCTATATGCCTTTCTCCTGGTAGGAGAAAATCATAATCAAAACAGCACCTAAAGCCGCATTTTTGCAAACATGTTTAGATGTGTCGATCGTTTGGGCATTAATTCATTTCATTGGTCAGAAAATGTATTTATTTAGGCCACTGAAATGAACGAACGTTCAAGCCCTTGACGCAACTAGGATTAATGCTCGTTTAGAAGTGTTTAGACACGTTTACATGCATTTAGGCATGTCGGGCCTTTTTTAGTAGAAAAACACTTCTCTCCTTTATACTCTGGTTCTGGAGTTTTTTTTTCTGCCTCCAAACAACTGTAAATGCCTATGTGTACATAGAAACATAGGCTAACATCGGGGGGAGTTTAGAGACAGGGAAAAAAAGGTCAAACACCCTTAAAAGTGGCGTTTTTTGACTCCTAGTGTGTATGAGGCCATATAGTTTAAAGCTCCTTTACAATGTGCTCATCTGATTTAACACATGATGACCCTCCACCTCCTAGAAACAGACCCACCAATTATACTTACCATCAAGGTATAGGAAGGTCAGAATGAGACAAAGATCTCCTTTCCACCCAATATAGATATGGCAGTTTACAAAACTCTGAAGAGCAGTGATGGTCCACTGTATATTTCTAACTCCCAGTAAGGCATATACTGTATGTCTCCAATTAAAACATTTTCTTCATTAAAATGGAACTTAACTGCATCTGAGCACCACAAAACAAAAATGCTATACAATTAATTTTTAAAGTGGAACTCCAGGCCCCCCAAAAATTTAAATCCTGCAGCTGCTGACATTTAATGTAAAGCCCGCCTTGCTTTGTAAATGGTCCCGCAGTCTTCTGGGACCTGGTAAGTGTGCCTAAAGGCTGCGGGGGAAGGTGAGAGGCCAAACTTCCAGATCAGATCGACGCAGCGCATCTGAACAGACCTGTCAAAACCAGGTACCTGTTTCACCTCAAAAAGTGCCAAATTGTCAGTGGAAGAGGGAGGAGACAAATGAACTTCCCCTTTTGGGTGAAGTTCCGCTTTAATATTTAAAGCCAACTCCCCCATCTATCCATATCTCCATGTTTTATTTTGTTGAGCAATCACTTTTAAAAACACCCCCCTAGCATTTCTAGCTTTGGCCACCTTGAATAAGGGCAGATGATTCATGTAGCATTTATTTCTGCTCTTATTGTGATAACACCCTAGAAAATCTTACACATGCAGCGCAGTCCAATGTACATGGGATGCTGGTACACTTTTATAAGGTCTGGTGTGCAGGCAGGAGGGTGTGCTTAGCTGAGAATCCCCTCCCCTCTCCTAGATGAAGGGAAAAAAAATGCCCATGAAGGCACCTGGGATGTATGACATCATTTTAGCCTAGCTCAGGAACCAGGAAGCAACTGATGAAATGTGGTAAAAACAAAAAGTTTAAAACTAGTACGTTCCTATCTATTTACTAAGCTTAGGAGAATAATAATTAAAAATAGTTAATGTTGATTGAGAGAGAGAGTAAAGTCTTGCTTTATGATCTGCTTACACAGGACAGAAATTTTATTTTTTAACAAAATCAAACTAATTAAAAGAAAGATAAAACAAAAGATAGGTCACATTAGCGCATTGATGGCACTATCACAATTGGCATGTGAATGAACCATGCATTGTACCAACCATGAGAAGTGTGGATGCTCCACTGCAACAACAAACGGCATATCTAAGTAGCATGATGATGTAGCAAAGTCCCAACCTACGTGTTTCGTCTCCTCTTACTTTGTCAGGGTGAAATATATGTAGCTATAGACCAAAATATTCATTATACCTCCACCATCTCTCCAGTGCCCAAACACTAGTTTGGTCTTAGTAGGGTAGGTCCAATTAACAAATGATCTGCCATTTGGAGAATGTCACCCGTTACAATAAATGCAGAGATGACCACTATGGATGGAGAGTGGTTGGAAATCAAATAAAGATTTATAAATTAATCCCTAAAAGAATTGTTTGCCCCATATATGGAATGCAGTTCAATGTGCCTTTTGTTGATTAATTTTAAAGGCCGTCTCATGATCTCTGTTTTCTCAGGTTCCTGTAATGCCAAAGACCAATATATTGCACAACTTAAGGAAACTCTGGACACCACTGCTGCAAAGAAAGTGGCTGCATTCATTGCTGAACCCATGATGGTAACATAACAGCATTACTTGGAATATAAGATCCAGCCTATTACTACTTTTCACCCAAGAGAGCGATGTCCTAAGAACACCATAGAGATATTCAGAATCAAGAGATTATAGCGTATTCAGCTTTCAAGAACACTAGCAAATGTGTGAATATCAAGACATACCAAAACAAACTGGGATTTTGGCACACCAAAATCTATACACAATAGATAAAAGAATATAGTTTTTATTCTACACGATTGGTTAAGTTATCACACCACTATATGTGTATCACCCCCTAGGATGCTAGAGTGTAGGTCAATTTAGTTCAGCTTCTAGGCAGAAGATCAGGGGCTAATTGGTTAGGAGGCTGTGCAGAGCTTCATAGGTTGCTGGCTTGTTACTCCCCCCTGTCTTCTTTAGTGTCCCAGAACATAGTGGGAGGGAGAGCAGGGCTAGAAGCCTGAATATATATTTATTTATTGCAGGTACTTATATAGCACCATCAATTTTAAACAGTGCTTTACATATACATATATATATATATATATATATATATATATATATATATATATATATATAGTACATTCACATCAGTCCCTAACCCTCAAGGGGTGTACAGTCTAAGGTCCCTATCTCACATTCATACATGCACATACTAGGGTCAATATAGACAGGATCCAATAACCTCCCAGCATGTGTTTGGAAGAAAACCGGAGTACTTGCAGGAAACCCACGCAGGCACAGGAAGAACATGCAAACTCCAGGCAGGTGGTGCCATGGTTGGGATTCAAACAAATGACCCTAGTACTGCCAGGCAGAAGTGCTAACCGTTTAGCCACTGTGCTGCTTTTTTATGGACCTTCCACCAATCCCTGGTGCGGCGTGCCCAGAAGGTGGAGAAGCAACCCATAAGTACTCAGAAGCCTGGCAGCTTGGGGAGCAGAGCCCAGAGTCCAATTGTCTGCAGAGCCCCCAGCACAAGGATCCCTCTCAGAGAGGACAGGAGGAGAGAGTGAGAGAAAAGGAACAAGAGAGCTCCAGGACAGTAGATACTCTAGAGTCTGGGAGTTTCCAAAAGGGACTGAGTGTGTAGAAAACCAGCCATCACCCCTGAGGGAGGGAGAGGACAGTGAAGTGCAATAGCTAATGTGTCAGTGGAGCTCAAGTGCAGTGCAAGTGCAGTGCAAGTGCAGTGCAAGTCAGCCAGGAGCACACAAATTCCCCAAGCTTGGAACTAGAGCAGCCAGGTGCAGTGCAATACCACCAGGTGCCGTGTCTTGAATACAACTTCATGGAACTTTTTTTCTTTTCTGTTCAACACTACTACTCCCACAACTGTGCAATACAGCTTGCATCTCAAATTAGAGCAGCCAGAGAATTAGCAGGTCCTCAGCTGTTTGTACATAGTTGGTCAGTGTTTCTTCAGTCTGGGATAGCCCATGCACCCCCATTCCCTATTTAAGTTCAACATTCTAAAATAAACACCAAAACACTAAGTCTGTGTAGTGAGTCATCTTGAGGTGTGGGGGTGGCACAGTGGCTTAGTGGTTAGCATGTCTGCCTTGCAGTAAATGGGTCATGGGTTCAATTCCTGACCATGGTGCCTCCTGCATGGAGTTTGTATGTTCTCCCTGTGCTTGTGTGGGTTTCCTCCGACACTCCAAAGACATGCTGGTAGGTTAATTGGATCCTGTCTAAATTGGCCCTAATATGTGTATGTATGAATGTGAGTTAGGGATCTTAGATTGTACACCCTTTGAGGGTTAGGGACTGATGTGAATGTTCAATATATACAGTATGTGTAAAGTGCTGTTTAAATTAACAGTGCTATATAAGTACCTAAAATAAATAAGTATGTGAAAAATGCCTTTTATGGGTGCTGTAAGGGGGAAATAGGCCCAAAGACCAGCGGCTCTTTCTGGGGTAGCACTACACATATATTCAATAAAAAGCACACCAATCTTTTAGCTCTAAACATCACTTATTAGGATAAATATTGAATCCTTTAAAGGCACCAATCAATGGTTTCATTTCATCACATAAGGACATCTTCAAAGCGCCTGTAGCATGTATACTGTACATTGTTGAATGAATACCTCCTCTACACTCCTAATGAAGTTGATATTTCAAAGAAAGACGTAAAGATTTCAGGTTTTTCCAAGGTGTCCTTAAGTGACAATATTTAACCATTAATTGGTGCTTTTTAAAGGATTCAATATTTATCCTAATTAGAGATGTTTAGAGCCAGGGAGTAGTGTGCTTTTTATGCGTTTTATTGATTGTATGCAGTGTGATCTTTTAACCAACTGTGTAGAATAAAAATTCTACTCTTTTATCTGTTGTATACAAACTTTGGTGTACCGTTTAAAACCCCCAGTTTGTTTGGTATATAGTATTGATATTGGTTAAATAAAGATGAAGGTAACAAGGACATTGTAATATCTTAGTCCCATGTGCTCATTTAGATTAAAACTAGCCAATGCATGCCCATTCCATGAACTGACAATTCTGAATAGTGCAGTCAACCACTTGGACTCCAGAGGATTTACCCTCCTTCCTGACCAGGCCATTTTTTGCATTACGGCACTGCGTTACCTTTAACTGACAATTGCGCAGTCATGCAACGCTGCACCCAAATTTACGTCCTTTTTTTTTTATGGTATTTGATTGCCTGTGCATTTTTTTTTTTTTTTTTTTTTTAATAGCACTAAAAAAAAAAAAGACAATTTTGAGAAAAACTATATTTTTGACTTTTTACTATTAAACATATCCAGTAAAAAAAAAAGATAAAAAAATCAAATTTCCTCAAATTTAGGCCAAAATGTACTCTTCTGCATGTCTTTGCTAAAAAAAAAAAAAAAAAATCCCAATACGTGTAAATTAATTGGTTTACGTGAAAGTTATAGCGTTTACAAATGCCGGTGTGTGTGTATACATATATATACTGGGCTTTTTTTTTTTTTTAACTAGTAATGGCGGCGATCAGCTACTTAGAGCAGGACTGCAGCGTGCATTCTAACAGTGGGGGGAACTGACTTGGTGTCACTGACATCCCCAGTGACACCAATACAGTGATCAGTGCTAATAAAAAGCACTGACATTGTACTAATGGCACTAGGCAGGAAGGGGTTAACGTGGGGTGATCAAAGGGTTAACTGTGTGATGTGTGTTGTTTTACATTATGTTCTGTGTTTGTGCTTCACTGTAAGCACACTGCTTTGCATGGCTGTGCTGTGCTCAGCCATGCAAAGCAGTGTGCACGAGCTGACAGGGAGGAGAACTGTTTTATTTACAGTTGTCCCCACCCACCCTTCGCTGTGATCATGGAGCGTTTTTCCACACGGGATGTGTGCGATGCCCAAAAAAAGGTTTGGGAAACTTTTTTTTGGGCATCCCGCGATTTTGTTTGCACGATCATGGCATGTTTTCCGTGAGGAAAAATGTGCAGCGATGCCGACAAAAATGCCGCGCGGTTTCAGGTGCTATTGAAATGAATGGCACCTGAAGATGCAATTGTTTTCACACTTTTACGGCACGATTTCAATCGCAGTGATTCTGCACACGATTTGAAAAAACCTAATGTGAATGAAGACTTGATGACATTGGACTTTATGGCACTGGGAAACATTACTTGTGGCCTTGTACTATACCATATTGGAAATAATATACAAAAATTTATTATTGCAGCATACCTGTCCTTAGATGCAATGGCTGCATTATTTCCTTTTTCAGGCTAGGAACATTTTCAAGTACAGAACCCACCTGTTGACCTTGCCATGGTCGCAATGTTCTTGTCACTTCTTGTGAGATTAACAGCACAAATACTGTAATGTTCTCTTTCTATATTGGAAATGGCAGGACACAGCAGTAGTCCAGTCTGTGCGACAACCATGGCTCATCCATGGATACAGTGGAGGAGTGTGCGTAGCCACTCTAGGGTTGGAAGTGTGTTTAATTGCAGGATTACCAGGTGAAAATAAAGGAAACAAAAATAGGGAAAAAGAAAATTAATGCAACCACCTAGGGGTGGACTGACCATTTAGAAATTCGGGCACTGCCTGATGGAACGGGGTCAGTAGGGGGCCCTAAAAGATGCCCCTGGTACCTTTTTCATAGGCTTTTTTGAGTTTGGGCAAGGACACAGGGGCCCCATGATCCCCTATTGCCCAGGGGCCCCATGAATTGTCAGTCCGCCCCTGCAGCCACCACATATAAGGGCAAGTAAGCTGCAATATACTACATTTTTATTTCGATACACCTAAAGTAGAAATTTTATCTTTATTTCCCATATCACATTGCTGCATATAACTATACGTATAAAATGTCTGAATTTGTTTTGCAGGGTGTTGGAGGAGTCGTTCAGTATCCCAAGAATTTTTTAAAGGAGGCCTATGAAATTATACGGGGCAAAGGAGGAGTGTGCATTTCAGATGAAGCAAGTATTCTTGTTTCTCTACAAATTACTATTCATTGTGTTAAGGGGTATCTATCCAAAGCAAAAAAAAATGTTTTGCCTTTAGAGTAGGGAATGGTAAGAACCCATTGGGCCTGTTCTGTTTCAATTGCTGCTTTATGCATTGAAATACCTCCAATCAGCTTCCAGATTTATTGAACAAGCTGAAGTTAGAAGCTGATTGGCTACCATGCACAGCTGCACCAGATTATAAGTGCTAGTTTTCCCCAGTCTGTCTAGACAGTATGGTTTCCTGCTGACTTGGCACCATCCACATGTGGCTTAACTCTTCAATAAGACACAGAAGTTGAATCCAACACAATTTTACTTCAGTCTCCAGTCTTCATCAGAAAACCAATGACTTTCCTAAGCCCTGTCTCTGCGAATAACTAAAATGGACTGAGGGAACATGGAATAAATGGGAAGGAACTAGCTAGGATTAAGCTAACTGGCAATAAAAAGGAGGGGAGACAGAGAAAGATACCAAAATCACAATAGTAAACCAGTTGTGATCAGAAACACAACTAGATGTCAGCATAGGGCAAGAAAAATAACCTCATGCAGTTCAATAAAAGACATAAAAATGGGGCAGAACAGGATAATCTTGTCATGCATATATTGTCACCTGCAGGAAAAAAGACCTCTACCCAAAGTTAAAAGTGTCAGTGGGATACCTCTATGTATACAAATATCCAAACACTGTAAATGTAACTAACCATAGCACAATAAAATTATGATTGTAAGTGGTTGGATGAGAAGACCTGGCTCACATTCTGGGTTCTAGTTCATCCCAAAAGTGTTCAATGGGGTTGAGGTAAGGCCTCTCTGGAGGCCACTTGAGTTCCTTAACACCAAACACCTGAAACCATGTATTTATAGAGCTGGCTTTCGGTACAGGGGTACAGTCATGCTGGAGCAGAAAAGGGCTTTCTCCAAACTGCTGCAATAAGGTTGGAAGAGGCCCTTAGCAGGGGTTTTGAGGGCACACCACCTATGCCTCCTTGTGTTTTATTTCTGGCAGATGAGTAAAGTGCTCCCTACCATGGAGGAGGTCCTCATCCCACAGGAGGGGGCAATCTGTGGGATGAGGAACTCCTCCATGGTGGGGAGCACTATTTCCAGATACATACTATCCACTGCTATGTTTATGGTTGGAAGGAGAGAATGGAGAACAATAAGGCGTGAGAAAGGAATAATCCACCACCAGACAAAAGCGCTGTCTGACTCTGTTGTGTAAACAACGATCCACCAGATCTGGTGAGTGTGGTCACAAAGGGGGTCACTGATTGATGAGTACTTTAAGAGCACTAGTCACTTTGCTGGTTTTGCTTGCACACGGAACACTTTAAGAAGAAAACATCATTACATCCTTGAAAAAGTATTCTTTACCTCTTGAAGTTTTCCACATTTTGTCATCTTACAACCAAAACCATCAATGTATTTTATTGGGGTTTTATGTGATAGACCAACACAAAGTGGCACACAATTGTGAAGTGAAAGGAAAATGATAAATGGTTTTCAACATTTTTTACAAATAAATATTTGAAAAGTGTGGCGTGTATTTGTATTAAGTGAATATACTTTGTAGGACCACCTTCGCTGCAATTACAGGTGCAAGTCTTTTTGGGGATATCTATACCAGCTTTGCACATCTAGAGAGGGACATTTTTGCCCATTCTTCTTTGCAAAATAGCTCAAGCTCTGTCAAACTGGATGGAGATAATCTGAGAACAGCAATTTCCAAGTCTTGCCACAGATTCTCAGTTGAATTTAGGTCTGGACTTTGACTGGGCCATTCTAACACATGAACATGCTTTGATCTAAACCATTCCATTGTAGCTCTGGCCGTATGTTTAGTCCTGCTGGAAGGTGAACCTCTGCCCCATTCTCAAGTCTTTTTCAGACTCTAACAGGTTTTCTTCTAAGATTGCCCTGTATTTGGCTACATCCATCTTCTCAACTCTGACCAGCTTCCCTGTCCCTGTTGAAGAAAAGCATCCACACAACATGATTCTGCCACCACCATGTTTCATGGTGAGGGGATGGTGTGTTCAGGGTGATGTGCAGTGTTAGTTTTCCTCCACACATAGCATTTTGCTTTTAGGCCAAAAAATTCAATTTTGGTCTAATCTGACCAGAGCACCTTCTTCCACATGTTTGCTGTGTCCCTCACATGGCTTTTCACAAACTGCAAACAGGACTTCATATGGCTCCCTTCTTGCTACTCTTCCATAAAGGCCAGATTTGTGGAGTGCACAATTAATAGTTATCCTGTAGACAGATTCTCCCACCTGAGCAGTGGATATCTGCAGCTCCTCCAGAGTTACCATGGGCCTCTTGGATGCTTCTCTGATTAATGCTCTCCTTGCCCGGCCTGTCAGTTTAGGTGGATGGTCATGTCTTGGTAGGTTTGCAGTTGCGCCACACTCTTTCCATTTTTGGATGATGGATTGAACAGTGCTCCGTGAGGTGTTCAAAGCTTGGGATATTTTTTATAACCTAACCCTGCTTTAAACTTCTCCACAATGTTATCCCTGACCTGTCTGGCATGTTCTTTGGCCTTCATAATGCTGTTTGTTCACTAATGGTCTCTAACAAACCTCTGAGTTCTTCACAGAACAGTTGTATTTATACTGAGTTTAAATTACACACACTCTACACTCTATTACACTCTACTAATTAGGTGACTTCTGAAGGCAATTTGTTCCACTAGATTTTAGTTAGGGGTATCAGAGTAAAGGGAGGCTGAATACAAATGCACTCCACACTTTTTAGATATTTTATTTGTAAAAATATTTGAGAACCATTTTATTGTTTTCCTTCCACTTCACAATTAAGTGCCACATTGTGTTGGTCTATCACATACAATCCCAAGAAAATACATTTACATTTTTGGTTGTAACATGACCAAATGTGGAAAATTTCAAGGGGTATGAATACTTTCACAAGGCACTGTATTATGGATTGAAGACTTTTTTTCTTTGACTGTATAATGGACACTATTTATTAAGTTTGCTTACACTGTAGAGCGCTGTTCCAAAAATTTTTTATATACACATATACTGTTTTGCAAATAAAGATCAAACAATGTATACTTGACGCATGATTCTGGGAATGTGAGTTTTGTAAAGTAAGAACAGCATTAGCCATTACGTTTTCAAAACTCTTGTTCAAATATGCAATGATGCCTCAAGGAGTGATGAGCCTGAGCCACTATCCTGATTCATTCCCTTATGTGTGTGCAACCCACAAAAATTGTATGTAGCAGACTTTTTCCAGCAGGTGAAAGGAGAGGCAGGAAATCTGGTGGAAAGGAGCTGAGAGCTCCATCTTCTGGCTGACACCATGATTACATAAACTTAGTATTGGATATTTCAGGATTAGGGGACAAACAAAAAAGTTTTGAGAATTAATTTTCCTATTCTTAAACCAAAATAAAGAAAATTATGTATATAAAACCCACTGCATTTACTCTAATAACAATGGTGATGTTTCTCCTATAGGTTCAAACTGGTTTTGGCAGGACCGGGAGCCATTATTGGGGGTTTCAGACTCATGATGTCATGCCTGATATTGTGACTATGGCGAAGGGTATTGGCAATGGGTTTCCTATGGCTGCCATTGTCACCACAGAAGGTGAGAAAATCAATATGGTACTACAAAGATTTGCAATAGCTTATTGAGGCTATCCTACGTCTTGATGCACTAAATGATAACAAATGCAATCATTTCTCCTGCTATCTGTGACCTTCTGTCAAAGATTACATTTTCAGTTCACAAGCTATTTTTCTCACATAGGCTTGGCTTATTGTTTCTTTTTTTGGGTTGTATTATTTTATGTATGCAAATGTCCATTAACACAAATTGGATCTTTAACACATGTTTTGATGCTCCTGTAAACCTCTGGGGCCAGGTGTGGGCAATATAGACACAGTAGATGACCAGTGTGCACCCTTTTATGCTACTATGGTGGTACTCGCATATCTTCTTCATGTTATTAAAGGAAACAAATCATTTGAGGGGAAACATGAAAGCTGCTATTTTTGACTACTAAAATATTCTAGTTGCTTGGCTGTCATGATGAACTTCTGGCTTCAGATTTTGGAGCTATGGCACCCTGACCTGGAACACATATCCAGATAAGGATTTCTGACTTTTGTGTGACTTTCATAAGGTTGCCATATACATCCTCATAATTGAGATTCACCCAATCCTAAAATTCAAAATTGCTAAATCCATTAAATTCCGAGCCGTGGGTGGCACTGTTTGCACCACCAGCTCGACAAACTGCAAATGAAAAATCAAAAGAGCCAGGTGGAAAATTATCAAATGAACAATGACCGAGTCCAATCAGAAGCAGTCACTGTTTGGGTATCCAGCAACAGCCATGGATTCCGCAAGGGGGATTTCCTCATTCTGCTGTGTTTGAGTGGATAGAGGAACCTATTAGATGTCCCTAATTGAGATGTCCCAATAGTTCAGCCTGTGAGCTGAACAAGTAAAATCTATATGTCTATAGCTAGCCTTAAAGTGGTTCTAAAGGCTCAAGTGTTTTTTACCTTAATGCGTTAAGGTAAAAACCCTCCTGGGTGTAGCTTTTCCCCCAGCTTCCCCCCCTTATACTTACCTGAGCCCCATCTCGTTCCAGCAATGTGCACGAGAGCAGCGGCCCTCCCTGGTCTATCTCTCTCCTCCTTGGCTCATGCAGCAGCGGGGGCAATTGGCTTCCACTGCTGTAAATCATAGCCAGTGAGCCAATAAGGGGAGAGTGGGGGGGTGGGAGGGGGCCTTACATCACTAAGTGCAACGTCGGATGCAGTGGTGTAAAGCATGCCCCCACTGGACTCTAAAGTAGTGGAGACGTGTTCTCTGGAGAGAGAAATCACGCTTCTGTCTGGCAATCCAATGGACGTGTCTGGGTTTGGCGGCTG